GGTTTCGGAGTCGGGGGCAGGGTTTAGTTGGTGGTGAGACTCAGGCAGTTTTGGGGAATGCCCCATGCGGTGTGGAGACAGAGGCATTTGAGCCTGTTTCTCCAGCCGGTGCTTCTGGGTTTGACCAGTGGGCATCCATCGTTCCAGCTTTCCCGGCGGCTTCTGTCTTTTGAGGTGGAGGGTTTGGAGGACAGCTCGGCCATGGGTCTTGATGTGGAGGTCCCTGGGGTGGGGGAGGGGCTGACTTGGGGTGGGGGGGCTTGGGTCCTGTTTGATTTCGCTTGGGTTTTGGTACCCTCTGAGCGGGGCTTGTTATTGCAGGGAGTGAGATTTTCTTATCCCCCCTTCTTTGTTCAAATTTGATATGGTGTCAGCCCCTCCCCGGGTTCGGTTCTGGGTTCCCTTGGGTACTTCGGTTCCTACTTTCAGGAGGTTTTCAGTCTCCTTTGCATCCTTGCTCATCAGGTGCGAGAGGCCATTGCATCTTACCTCCTATGCGACCCAGATTACGCCTCAGTCTACACCTCAGATCCTGCCTCTTTCGATTTCGGTTCTTCTTTTCCTTACTGGGTGTGTTACGAGGTTCCGGAGTTGTCCTGTTTGGCACACTGTCCTGTCTTTTCCTTGGGGATGTGGCATACGTTCTGTCGATCCCACACGCTTGTGTGGCAAAAGGCCCTTATGGCTGTACAGGTTTACCTAGCGGGCCAGTTTGAGTGCCTCAATGCGTGTTTGTTTGCCCCTGCCCTTCCATGGGATGTTGGCCTGGTACAGCTTCATGTGCAGGTTCCCGCCCTTTTGGCTGCCCTTGTTGCTGATGATTTGCTTGCCCATGGCCATTTGGCTTCGGTCTTGTGTTTTTTTTCATTTCTCAAACTGTCTTTATACTGGATTGAGGAGGATATGGAGGCGCTCGGGGCTTATCCTGGGGCTAGTATGCTGGTCTCGGCGGTGCGGGCATCGTTTGCCTTGTTGAAGTTGTTTGTGCTGATCCTGCAGGAGGCGGTGTCTCTGTTCTTTCCTGCCCGTGCTGACAGGCGGTGCTCGCTCAATCCGTGGAATCTGCTTGGACCCTGGCTCTTAGGTTGTCTATGCCTTTTTGTCCTTTGCTGTTTGCAGTATCTGCAGGCAGCTTCTTCGAGTTGTCGTCCCATGTCTTACTTGTTGGTTCTCCGGGGGGCTCGTGGGGGTCTTCCCAGAAGAGTCGTGCCAGGGCTCGGGGTTCCTCCCATTGTAGTAGGCTAGTGGTGCCATTTTTGGTGCCGGCGCAGCCTTTGAAACCAACGACGACGGGTCGACGCAGTGATCGCTCTGCTCATAGATCGGCTTCGCGTAAGGGGTGTAGGCTTTTTCGTGGCTCGTCCCATTGACGCGGCAATGGGGGGGAGAAGCTCACGCTGTTTGCCCACTCCTGGTCCCACGATTTGTAGACGTTTTGAGTCGTTTCTTGCAACCTGCGGTGGCATTGGGTGGCCTTTCTATTTCGGAGATTCAGGGCTGGTGTGGCGGGCCTCTTCTCCGGCACTGTGTCAGGTCATCTTGCAGTGGGTTCGCTTGGGAGTGTTTAAAATGAAATCGTCCCTCTGGTGGATTTCACGCCTGTTTCCGGTTCCTAAACGGGACTGTGCGGACCTGCGGTTCTTTCTGGACATGTCCTGTCTGAACCCTTGACTCTATTGCCCCCCTTTTGGATGACTACTCTGTCCCAGGTTCATCTTCTCTTGGAGCCGGATGTTTGGATGGTGTATCTGGACCTCCTGTACGCATATTGGCACATGCCATTCATCCAGGGTTCAGGGACTGGCTCGGGTTTGTTGCAGGGCTTCAGGCTTACTGCTTCCATTGCCTTCCATTCGGCTTGAATCTGGCACCTCGCAGGTTCACATGCTTTACTTGGGTTGTCATGGTCCATCTTCATCTCTTAGAGTTTCGGGTTCTAGCCTGGTGTGGGCTTCCAGCCAGTCCGCATATCTGCTTGCCAGGGATTTGGTTTGCAGTTTTTATCCAGCTGTAGTTTGTTTTGGAATTCCTACCTTTCTGGGTGCCTCATCTGGCAGACATACCATCTGCTTTATAATTGGACTGCTTCCAATTACACAGGGGTCTCTGTAGGTCATTGCTCCTCGTGCCTCTCTGAGGAGGGCCAGGTTCTGGTGCTGGTCCCTGGTAGGCCTAGAACTCTATTGATTGTCTGTTGCCATGGTCTAATATGCTTTATATATATATATATATATATATATATATATATATATATATATATATATATATATATATATATATATATATATATACAGAGCACCACTTGCTTGGGGACGAGACCCGTCGGTTAACATGTAAGTTCGTATACGAGAAATAGAGGGGAAAAAATAAACTAGAAATGTAAAAAGAAATTTTTCCGAAAAAATTTACGAAAAAACTCTAGGGAAAAAAATCGACAGGTTCATAGCGTAAATGCGACCGTGTTTTGTTTGTACTCACTAAGTGAAGTCCTGATCCGCTTTATAAAAGTCCTTAATTGTTCCTAACTGATTATTAAGACGTCTGGCAAACATCCTCTGGATGTTTCCTGCCAGCCTGCCTGCCAGCCTGCAGGAACATCCTGCCAGCTTGCCTGCCAGCCTGCAGGAACATCCTGCCAGCCTGCCTGCCAGCTTGCCTGCCAGTCTGCAGGAACATCCTGCCAGCCTGCAGGAACATCCTGCCAGCCTGCAGGAACATCCTGCCAGCTTGCCTGCCAGCCTGCAGGAACATCCTGCCAGCCTGCCTGCCAGCTTGCCTGCCAGCCTGCAGGAACATCCTGCCAGCCTGCCTGCCAGCTTGCCTGCCAGCCTGCAGGCACATCCTGCCAGCCAGCTTGCCTGCCAGCCTGCAGGAATATCCTGCCAGCCTGCCTGCCAGCCTGCAGGCACATCCTGCCAGCCAGCTTGCCTGCCAGCCTGCAGGAATATCCTGCCAGCCTGCCTGCCAGCTTGCCTGCCAGCCTGCAGGGACATCCTGCCAGCCTGCCTGCCAGCTTGCCTGCCAGCCTGCAGGAACATCCTGCCAGCTTGCCTGCCAGCCTGTAGGCACATCCTGCCAGCCTGTAGGCACATCCTGCCAGCCTGCAGGCACATCCTGCCAGCCTGCAGGCACATCCTGCCAGCCTGCAGGCACATCCTGCCAGCCTGCCTGCCAGCTTGCCTGCCAGCCTGCAGGAACATCCTGCCAGCCTGCCTGCCAGCTTGCCTGCGAGCCTCCAGGCACATCCTGCCTAAAATATACGATGATGTACTGTACATTTAAGAAACAAATCTGGGTCACAGGTCTGTGGAGTGTGGTTAGGCTTACGGAGTCAGCCGGTCCCTCCCCCACCACCGATACACCTCCCCCTCTCCCCCCATCCCTAACCCATACACACACACACACACACTCTCAAAGGTCACGTGGTTCATGGTTCACTTCAACACCCATATATCGCTTCCTGCCTGCCTGCCTCCTTCCCAGCCTGCCTGCCTGCCTCCTTGCCTCCGTCCCAGCCTGCAAGCCTGCCAGCCTGCCTGCCTCCTTCCCAGCCTGCAAGCCTGCCTGCCTGCCTCCTTCCCAGCCTGCAAGCCTGCCTGCCTGCCTCCTTCCCAGCCTGCAAGCCTGCCTGCCTGCCTGCCTCCGTCCCAGCCTGCAAGCCTGCCTGCCTGCCTGCCTCCTTCCCAGCCTGCAAGCCTGCCTGCCTGCCTGCCTCCTTCCCAGCCTGCAAGCCTGCCTGCCTGCCTGCCTCCTTCCCAGCCTGCAAGCCTGCCTGCCTGCCTCCTTCCCAGCCTGCAAGCCTGCCTGCCTGCCTCCTTCCCAGCCTGCAAGCCTGCCTGCCTGCCTGCCTCCTTCCCAGCCTGCCTCCTTCCCAGCCTGCCTCCTTCCCAGCCTGCCAGCCTGCTTCCTTCCCAGCCAGCCTGCCTGCCTCCTTCCCAGCCTGCCAGCCTGCTTCCTTCCCAGCCAGCCTGCCAGCCTGCCTCCCTCCCTGCCATCATGCTAACGGGTAGTGTGTGTTAGGCTTATCTTCGGGAATGAGCCGGTCTCACCCCCACCACCAACAAACCACCCGCCCCCCTACATCCCATCTCTCAAGGTCACGCGGTTCAACCGCGTGACTACCACTCACTCCCTGCCTGCCAGCCTGCCTGCAAGCTAGCCTGCCTGCCTGTGCCTGCCTGTGCCTGCCTGCCTGCCTTTCCCTCCCTAATTCTCACTACTTCCATCCCTTCCTGCCTACCTCCTAGCATCTCTCCCTACCTCCCCCTCCCTCTTAGCATCTCTCCCTACCTCCTAACATCTCTCCCTACCTCCTAGCATCTCTCTCTCCCCCTCTCTCACTGATTCTCCCCCCCCCCCTCATTCATACTGCCTCCCACCTAAGCTCCATCGTCCATCCACCCACCAGTCAGCCATCACTGACGCAATGCGTGCATTTGGAGCCAACATGGTGCACAGATGTTTCTTGATTGTGCAGATATGTAAAACAAAAGCACAGAATGAACATTCCAGCCTTATGGCAATTCAAAATAATAGGAATAATAGGCCGTGAATCTGTGAAGTCACAGTGGGCAAACTGGACCATCTCCCACCCACCACCACAAGCCGGCGTGACGCTTGGCGGACCCCTTCCTACCCGAACTTTGTTCGGGTAGCATGACTCCCCAACCCCAATCGGGAAACTGGAAGTTTCGGATAACTAAAGTTCGGAAACCAAGTGGTGCTCTGTATATATATATATATATATATATATATATATATATATACACATCAGCCTGGTATAGCTTCCCAGGGAGCCTCCGGGTCTCATCCAGAAAATAGCGTTTCATTACAATGCTGGTTTTATGCTCTGCTATTCAATTCTACTCTACATTAAGTGATTTAGATTTTACCTTTCCATTCAAGTAAAATTACTGTAATTATAATTTATCCAAGTAAGTCTTGTAAACAGTAAAGAAAGTTTTGTAAATTTTTATCAGCCTTGGATATTTTTTCCACAGCTAAAACAGAGGGACTACTGGAGGAATATGCTCTAAGTCAAACAACATTAGAGCAGGTATTTCTGAAGTTTGCACGCCAACAGGAATATGAAGATGATGAAGATGAAGCTATTCACCAATCTTCCCTTTCAACAGCTACTTTTTAGAGACTGACAGGTCCCAAGTTCGATTCCAGCATTAACTCTTGTGTTGCTTCGGGCTAATTAGCATTTGTCACCGACAGGCGCATACCTAAAAAAAAAAAAAAAAAAAATCTTCCTAACCTGTTAAGTCGTGTTCCCTGACCATAAGAAAAATTAAAAAAAAATTAAATTGTACTTACCGATGACGTAATTGAGTCGACAATATGGGCGATGACGTTACACTCTGCATGATCGCTCATGCAGAGTGCGTCCCAGAGGTGTTGCGCGCAGTCTTCAAGCAGCCACAGTTGCCACGAATTTATTTTCGCTTCATTATTTACAGTGTCTAGGTGTATTTTATTACTAAAATTAGTCACTAATTTTGTTGCATATAATGTTACATCATGGTCATTGTCAACAAAATGTTGCATACATCGAGTATACACATGCGCACACAAATGTTTTCCATTGCGCCAATATATTATGTACTCACAATGTTCATTATTATATTTACACACATGCATGCACTATGTACAGGTTTGCACTATTATTGCACATTTAGAAGTCTTGGAGAGAGTGGCAGTCGTTGAAGCAGTCGACAGCACACAATGGAACTGCACACGCTTCACACCATGTTTGCGCCACTTTACTTTTCTGATCTCTCCTTTTTGTTGTTTTACAAACTAGGCATTCACATTGGCCTATTGCACGCTTCCCTGCTGGTGACAAATGTTTTAGTCTGTGTGCTTGTAAGGCCTCCATATACGTGAGCCTGGGTGTAGCAGCATGCTGCAACACTGGGTTCATGATAGGTCTTTGTATGCCAGGGACATCTTTACCAAACTTTGCTAATAACTGTGTCACAAGTGTAAAAGCCAACGCACGGAAACTAGGTTTACGTCCAGTTTTCACCAGATACATATTATAGCACTTCAACATGCTCATGTCAACAAAATGGAAAAACACATTTTTCATCCATTTCAATGTTTTCCGCACACACTCGATAGTGCCAACCATCATGTCAGATTTATCAATCAAACGCATGTTGATATTATAGTCAACACAATCTGGCTTATATACTGGTTCTTTCGTTACACGGTTCACCTTTCCACTGTTTACCATTGTACCATCGTGAATGGTTGTCAGCATGTTCACTTCTCTCTTGTCTTTCCACCGAATCGAGAGTATTTGATCCCATTTTCATAGCTGGCACTCACCAAATGCAAGTCTACTGTCAAACACTGGCATTTCCCTTCTTCGAGGCTTTACTGTGCCAATCAATCCGGTTCTATTTTCAATCAAGAACCTAGCTAGCAATGGACTTGTATAGTAGTTATCTGTGTATAAGATGTGGCCCTTGTTCATCCATGGTGCCATCAGTGACTTCACCACACTACCCGAGAAACCATGTTCTTCGTTTCCGGGAATGTCTACATCGCTAGCTGAATACAGAATCATGTGTAACATGTATCCTGTTTCACAGTCACAAAGAACAAAGAATTTCAATCCCAATCTGTTTCGTTTGGAGGGAATATACTGCTTGAATGAAACACGTCCTTTGAAAAGCACAAGGGATTCGTCAATCACCAGCTTCTGTGCTGGTAAGTAAAAATCTCTGAACTTTCCAATCACTTCATTCATATAGTGCCTCACTCGCTAAAGTCTATCATCCTCTGTCCGGTCCTCATTTCTTGCAAAATGCAGACACCTGAGGAGTATCTGAAACCTGTCTCGGGACATATATTTCCCGAAGAAAGGTGTTGGAATAGTCAGATCTTTGCTCCAATAATCTGTGAAAGCATGTTTGACACAATGCTTCATCAACATACATATTGCTAAAAACACATACATTTCACCTACAGTGGTGGTTTCCAACGTTACAATCGTGAAACTTCTGTTATCTCTTTTCCAATGAGATGAGCCGCATGAAGGTTCGTTTGGTGTACAATATATTCCATGAGCGGCTCATCACAGAATGCTGTAAAATAATCCAATTCACACATGTCCTCTCCATTATCAGGAAAAAGCTCTGTAATCCTAACGTCTCTATTGTCAAAGGCATGAATTTGAGGAATAAAACCAGCACCATCACTCCACACTAGTACTCCTGGTGTCCTGCGAGACGCAACAGGGGCACGACAGCGAGGAAGCGATGCACACTGTGGACCAGGAGCTGAAGCCCATCTATGCACAGTACCGCCACTACGTGCACGTGTAGTGGAACCACGTGAACATGAGGCTCTTGGTGCCTCATGTTGTTCCATGCGGTGGCACTTGGCTGGCTGAGACACTGCTGACATGACAAATTCACCACTGGTACCAGGCTCGGTAACACTATGCTCTGATTACACTTCACTAAAACCAGAAAACGAGTCACCTTCCTCTGACTCGTCACCCAAAATATCCTCAGACTCTACATAAGCACAGGAACTGTGTGGTCGTGGGTGAATTGGAGGAGACACTAGGCGAAGTGGCATGGGTGAGCGTATAGGCCTCGCCATGGGAGGCGGCTGTATATCATTTTCACTGTTGGTGCTACTATCATTGGTCAATTGTGTGTAGTCCTTATCAATGTCAGAGTCATCAAAATCACTTTTCTCACCAACAGAAAATAATTCACTAGTTATTTGCTCTTTGGTGAGTGATTGCGGGGTGCATGCCCGGGAGGCGTTCTGCCGTGCGCTCAACATGGTGGCTGCTGGGTAATTGATGCCTCTCATGCGATGGTAGCATGAACTGGATTTTTTTACAAAATGGCAGCTGTTTACTATAGCCCCTGGGCAGCGTATGGGGGCCCCCCTCTACCCCGCGGGCCGTTCAAATCTTGTGCGGTACTCCAATACAACATACTGTATAATATGGAGCGCAAGTTATTGCAAGTTACTCAACCCATCATATGATGTGTTGCGCAGTTTAAGGGTTAATCACTGTGATGCACCGAGTTTATTGTGACAGTCCCCCCTGTGCACATAAAATCAAGTGTTTCTAAAAAATTCTTTTTTCTTTGTAAAATGATAAATTCCCCTTCCCTGAACATGTCTATGTAAAAATAAGTATCAAATTCCACTTTGGCTGTTGGGACGTGGACAAGGTGCACTGTAACGTTATCACGGGCTGGTCGCCCATGCGTGAAGCTCCCAGGGGCTGTGGCGCGCCATTCAAGCACCGCGAGTTGCCACAAATATATTTTCAATTATTTGTTCTATGTATTTCTAATGCGGTTTTGTTTTTTATCATATATGATGCATATTTGTCTCTATTACATTACGTATACAATAGAATGTTCATAATGTTCCTTGGAACTGTGATACTCTTAATGTCAGTAATGTGTCCACAATAAATGTTTATTGTCGCAATATTACTTGTTAAAAAATCACTAAAATTACAATACAGTATGTACCATTTCACACACTATTTCCACAGTAACACACTGTATTGCACACTCAGTACTTCGAAAGTGAGTGATAATCAAAGAAGTAGTCCATGGTACACAGCGCGATTTCGCTCTCATTGCACCAGGTACAGATAGATTTTATTTTCACTTCCTGTTTTTTGTTCTGTGTGCTTGCAAATAATGCACTTAAATACACCCTTGGCTTTAGTACCTGTAGGTGGTATGTAGCCAAACTTGTGAAGCGTAAGGTAGTCTTGAAAAGATTGTAGGAAAAGATCAATTTGTAAGGAAGTCTTGAAAAGATAGCTTTGTAAGGACACTCACAGGAAGAGATTCAAGGATTCTGGAAGAAATTCAGTCAGGAAAAGATTCAGTTATTTTTCAAAATTTCTATGGAGAACACCACCATGGAAGCCACTAACACTATTCATTTATGCTACTTGTATCAGATGCATCATCACTGAACCCAGAAAATGATTCATCTATGTATTATCTATAAAAATTGGAGATTACATGGGCAGGCAAGGAAGGCGCTCAGAGCTACAACTGGATATGCTAGCTATATCGTCCTCATCTGTGCTATTTCACTTGTATCCTACCTTTATGTTAGGTTTTTATTACACCTAGCTTGATCAATATCATGACCCTTATGTTCTTCAAACAATAAGTTCTGAATTTCACAGACAGAACAATCTTTCAACACCACGTCAGAGAGGTGTTTTGCAGCCAGAGGCGTATGCGCCACCCATGGTTGCTCACTCAGTACTAACCCAGCCAGCAGCTGTAGGGCATTCTGGGAATTTTTTCCAAGATGGCTGCCTTTCACGGGCGGTCCCAAGAGTCCATTTCATGCACAACCTACCTCACACGTATTTTGAATGGGTATGAAATATTCAAAAGGTGTTTTCTCGGTTGGCGCAGTTTCCAACCGACCGAGTTTTCTCTGTTGGCGCAGCACAGTGGTTAAGATAGCATTTCGGCAATGTTTTCTTTCACTTGATGCATCTGTTCACCTTTCAGTAAATAGGTATACAGGAGTTAGGCAACTGTTATTCATTACCTTATGAAGTAAGTCAGCAGTTGGCCTAAGAGGACCTTTGAATAGCCTAACAGGCTTCCTGTCTGTGAGTATGGGATACCATGAGGTGAACCGTTAGCTTCAGACACAATGTACCAGTAATCACTAATGAATGTCAGTGTATTGATTCTTTTTCTACTTTTACTTCTTTTATAATTAGTATTTTTTTTGGAAAGATTGCTCTTATGAACTTAATATTATGTGTAGAGATACATGATAAATAAGTTACAATTTTTCTGTGTGGGAACCCCGTCGGCTCCCTGAAGCTATCCAAACTGACATGTGCAATATTAGTTTTGGGTCATCAGTCATAGGAGTTCTTTATGCTTACCAGAGACCACAAGCCAGAACCTGGTCCCCTCAGAGAGGCACAGGGAGCAGTGGCCTATGAGCACTTTACATTTAGAGTACTGTATGTCATACTTGCCATCGACCGGGAAGGGCACCCCAGAAAAACAGGTGAAACAATGCAAACCACAAACTGGTGAAAATTGCAACCTACATCTCAACAAAGATAAAATAACTCCCCCAAAAAAGAATACAAACAAACAACACCTCATCCAACTAGGGGATTCACTCGTTAGCACCTCCCCCCCTCCCAAAGGGGTGGGAGGGGGCCAGCTCGGGTGAGCTGACAGTTCACCCCTTCAATTCTCGACTGATGTGCATA